AAGATGACCAAGGCTACAGACAACTTGACGGTACTATGTTACAAAGATGACCAAGGCTACAGACAACTTGACCGTACTATGTTACAAAGATGACCAAGGCTACAGACAACTTGACGGTACTATGTTACGAAGATGACCAAGGCTACAGACGACTTGACGGATGAAGTAGGTGTATAAGTACACTAAATACATCGACTCGTTATGTGTCCATTAACCATGTGAAAACTATACAGCTCTAGTGGTTATGTATTCTTAAAATAGCATCAGATAGATATTTCTATTTTTATATTATGCATCTTTCTCTACATAGTTTCCCCCTCAAGCTCCCTCTCCTATGGCAGGAAAACATTTTCAAGCTGTCAACATTGCTGATGCCACGCTACCTAGTTTTTAACATGAATTTACTTTTATATATGCCTTTTTAATTACTATGGTTGTACAGTACAATGAAATGGTCTTACCTGTACACCTGTGCCTAACATGATCCTCTGGGGGATCAGGTAGGTCTTACTCTGTATGTCCACCTCTCGTCCATCTAGCTTCACCATTAACACACGGAAGTTTGTGCCACCCAAATCTAGAGCCAGAAACTTTCCCTTTTCTGTCAAAAGAGTTTTACACACTTTTAATATAAAGAACAATCTTTGGTTTAAATTATATTTTATTCAGATAAACTGAACATGTACATTTGCCAAAAAAACATTCCATAAATACAGGAACAGTGTTTCATAATTAGCATCTAAGTAATCAAAATACATGCCCAAGAATGGTATTTATTTGCTTTACTGATACAACAGAATTTCTTTTCAGGAATAACACAAACGTAAGTTTTACTGTACACCGATAGTACATATTAACTTTAACTGTCAATTGTGACCTTGTCCTAAAGCATGTCGTCGTAAAGCATTTCCCCAGAACACCTGCACTAGTTACATACAGGTAATTAACATCAAGTAATCGGTAACATTGAGGTGATTTTATCATGATATACAGGTATGGAGAGTCAGTTTGTGACCTTCAGTGGTCCTAATAAAAACACAACTATATAAACATGCATTTTATAAAGTTAGATATATATCAGAATAATTCTATAAAAAATAAATTAGTAGAGAGTCTTCTGGACAATGTTTTATTATTCGAAATAACTTAAAGATTATTAACAAATAAAAATACTAATGAACATTTTACTTTATGTACATGTCAATCATTAATTAAAACTTGATGAAAAAAATTGACACATGTACATTTTATATCTATACCTGAGTTAGTGAGTGAGATTCAGAAAGTGTTGGTTAACACAATCAATTATAATGTCAAGATGTTCACTCACCTGTTCCATCAGGTAAGGCTCGGACAAATGTGGGAAACATTTTTATATCAGCGATATGATTGCTTGACTTGAGGAGGCCATGGCTCATTTCATCATGCAATAGATGCATCACCCGTTTATAGGTTAGGGAGGATAGCTTAAATCCTCTGACATAACTTTCAATCTGAAAAAAAAGAGCTTCTGCATAGTTAAAATTTCCTCAAATGAGCTATGAAATAGATTTTTTTGAAGCTTATCTATATCATGTACACAGTAGTATCACTTCCAAACAAATATGTTGTTTCCTGCAACAGAAGACTTCTGATATTGTATAGGCGTGTCTGTTAAGAAAAAAATACTGATCATTCCAGTAAAATGTAAAACAAACAAACAACAAAAGTTTCAAAGAATCAACCTATACACAGAGGATTTTTATGATAAGGTGATTTATCTTCTTTTGTAACTCTGTCTACCATACCTAGCCTCCCTTGATATACAAAAACAACCATGGTTGACTGAAAAATAAGAAGCCAATGTGTGCGTTTCAGTAGTTGACTCAGACAAGACTGTTGTATATATATCTGGAACCAAGTTTTGATAGGTGTTCAATGATGAACAATTGATCTGGCGTTTACTGACAATAGATAATCATTCTGAATTGCTATGATAGTGTATGATATTCAAACAAACTGGGTGAAAAACAAAGTGTGTGAATAACCATAAAGCTAACCAACAGTTTAAGTATTGACAGCTTGACCTGAGATAAAGGAAAGAGATATATACATATAGCATACTCTGCTTAGTGTGTAATAAAGACTTTGACAGTTTTTTTTCATGTTTGCAGACTTTTTATTCATTCTTATAGTCTCGCAAACTCTTTTAAATAATATTGCAATTAATCATTTTTTGGTATTTAAAACTCCATTAGGTTTATGCCACAAGAAATATATTTTATAGCAAACTTAAGACGAGGGCAACCTTATCACAATTTCCTGATGTCTAATGCAACATTATCATGACATTTGTAATTAATGCCCTCTGATCCAAATTTAGATTGTGCAAAAATTAATAAAGTGCCGAGGTACGGAAAACTAAGAAACGCAAAACTTACTATAAATAGCCTAGAGTGTTTGTTCTACATTAAGCCTGCATTCTAAGGTAGAGAACAGGAAAGGGGTGTGGCACACAGATCACCACCCCATGCTCCATAATTTGTGATACATCGTAACATGATAGACTGAAGATTTGTATAAGAACTGTCCACCCATGTAAAACTTAGACAATTAATGAAAATCATCAATGAAAGTTCATAATTACTTTCATTGTATGCTTTACTTTTGAAATATAACATGATTCCAGGCATATCAAAATGGTTAAACAACAGACGAAACTACGCAAATTATTGTTACATATTTTCAGAGACGTATAATACATTATACGTCTCTGATATTTTATCAAATAACTGAGTATACACAGAGACGTATATACGTCTCTGGTATACACCAATGTGACCTTGACCTTTCGCAAGGGTAATTTATTTAGAGGTGTGTCTGCCACACACCGTTATATCAACCAATCAGAAGCCGTCATTATCTGTAACCTTTGTTTACACGAAAAATGCGTTTCAAAGCATTTCCACCAAATAAACACAAATTATTGCTTATATTGTGATTGAAATAGAATGTATATGACAGAAAATCACCTGCGTCATTGACACGACTGGTACGACCGGCCATAAGTGTAAACAAACCCAGTAGCAAAAGCTCAAGCTCAATGCCTATAAATAGACACATGGTTGCGTCTCGTAACAAAACAAGCAATGTTTGGTGTTATTTGACAGCGTAAAACATCCACGCGAAATGTTATACGTGTCTAAAAATTGAAAGAAACTTCAATAATTCACTCTAAAGCGGTAGCTTACAAACACGGATGTTATTAACTAACCTAACCAATGCAATGACCTACATAGTCAATCAAAACGTGTTCAATCTTAAAATCCAACAAATACTTTCCAATACAATGTAATTGTTGAATCTGATGGAGTGTTTTGACCTTAAGGATCGCCTCTTATACTGAGCATGTAAGAATTTTGTTTAAAACCGTTTATTTCCCCTAATTTCCCCATTTTGACGTCCCTTCCCCTTGGTCGTTCTCTCGATCCGCCAAGGCCACAAAACTGAAAAACAACAACATACGTCCATCAGAAAAATGTACATACCTTTTCATACTTTGTCAGTTTCTCGGGTGTTGAAGGCATATTATAAATATTAGCTTCCGATAAAAACACCTTGAGTCGTGTACAGTCGAGTACCCTAATCCAGCCACACGTACACGTTCACCGCCAAGCTTCAGCACTGTGAGTGTGACCCAAATACAACATTCATGAGCCAAACCACTGACGTCAGCAAACGGCTCATAGCCAATATACACAAACACATTCAGGAGCTAAAAACGTTTACAGATGTATGATCTTTCAACAAGTAAACAGAAATGAAAAACATTTATAACGTGTTGATTTTCTTGAAGATGGTCACAACTAGCAGTTCATATATTTTGCACATGTACATATATAAATGCCCATTATTGTTTTTTATTATTATTTTTTAACATATCTAAATATGACATTTTTTTTATTTATAAGAGATAGAGAAAGTTATATATTTATTTCTGCATTATAATAGACCATCGTCATGAAATGAGATGATAACGAAGACGTACAGTCTGTTGACAAGGTTGCAGTGTCTCTTAAATAGTCAAAGCTGATGCATGATTCCAAGTATTGTCAGCTTGTTAAAAAAAATACGAATTGAAATAGTAAACAAACATGAAATCACCTACTAAAGGAAATGCCAGACGGCGGATTTATCTAATTTGATGGTACTGTAGCCTCGGACTATAGTCACTTTTACACTGTCAATGTTCATACGGTATATCACATAATAATACATTTATTTCTTCAACGTTTTTCCATAATTGCATTATATTTTATTTTTAATGTATGCATATTTGTGGGAAATAAGCAAAAAGAGGCCAAGAGAGTTTGCGCCGCCCCCAGAATGTCTTAATCCGCTTCGGAATTTGACACCATACAAAAAGTATTTCTTATGCGTTTCATCCTCTATATGATTTCGACACTGTTCCAAGATTTCAAGATTTCAAGATTTTTTTATTACGCTCTGACACACAAAGTGTGTAACAAGAGGTCAAACAAAATAACCTCAATCAAAATAAAACATGACAGATGGTATACCCTTTCAGTATTGACTATATATATATAGTTGTTCCTGTATGGTTTGTACTGGTTTGTTGTAAAAAAGATTTAAAAAGAAGGTATTTCAACTGACTCATAAATCATATAAAACATCGAATAACTAGAGGATGGGATGTAAATGAAGAGATGGAGGTCCCAGGTGATGCATGGATGAAGCCCAGAAAACTGCCCTAGAATCGCTAGGTACTTTCAAATTAGACAATATACAATATGGAATATATAAACCTCTCTTAATATGTCGTATATATAATTACATCAGTTAACGGATCTCACTCGGTAATTGCACTGTGATCAGAGGCGGAGGTACGACCGCTATAACACCTTTTCTAAGCTTCGCGCTTAAAAAAAGACATTGCACCATAGCGATACCATAGGATTATTAAAAAAAAAATACAAAAGGATAATTTTGTAAAGATCAATTCCAAACTATGTTCGTGTGAAAGTAATTATGAAGTTAAGTTTTTCTCCATACCTTGTCACTATAATTTGGCCTCCTACAATGAGGCCAGCGCTTTCAGTTGAAAACTCTACTATAACACAGTGGTTTTTTTTGTTTTTTTTTATAATTTGTTTATTTTTAAAGACATTTTTATTACATAAATACATAAACACACATACACCCACATACATACAATTCCCATTTGCATGGTTTGTCTCTTGCATTGTCATATCTTTCATCATCATCATCCTCATCGTGACTGAATATCATCATCAGCCTTGTCAATCATCATCAATAGTAATACACCATTATCATCTTAATACATCATCATCATCAACAACATCATCAATCTATCATCATCATCATCATCCTAGCATCATCATCATCATCATCATCATCATCATCATCATCATCATCATTCTATTAATCCAACATCATCATCATCATCATCATCATTCCATCATCATCATCATCATCATCATCATCATCATCATCATCATCATCATCATCATCATCATCATCATCATCATCATCAACAACAACAACATCATCCTATTATCATCATCAACATCATCAACATCATCATTCTATCAATCCATCATCATCATTCTATCATCATCATCATCATCATCATCATCATCATCATCATCATCATCATCATCATCATCATCATCATCATCATCAACAACATCATCAGTCTATCAATCTATCATCATCATCAGAAACATCATCCTATCATCATCATCATCATCATCATCATCATCATCATCTCATCATCATCTCATCATCATCATCATCATCATCATCATCATCATCATCATCATCATTCTATCAATCTATCAATCTATCATCATCATCATCATCAACAGATGCATCCTCAATAATCATCAATACATCAGTCACATGCTACCATTAATATATATATGTTCTTATATATATAAAAATAGATATTGACAACCATACACAAATACTCATCCCACCATATATTCTGATAAACATTCACCTCACACACACTTGTACATCTCACACACACAATACAGACAGACTTGTAGAGAGAGAGAGAGAGAGAGAGAGAGAGAGAGAGAGAGAGAGAGAG